TGAATTGGATCCTGTCTAAATTGCCCCTAGTATTATGTGTATGTATGAATGTAAGTTAGGGACCTTAGATTGTACACCCCTTGAGGGTTAGGGACTGATGTGAATGTACAAATATATATGTAAAGCGCTGCGTAAATTGATGGTGCTATATAAGTACCTGAAATAAATAAATAAATAATAGTTTCCAGAGACTATTGAATGATTTTGGACAGGTACTATAGGACATCTGCCAAGTTATAAATAATTTGTTACCCCAACATTTCATATTCTTGATATGTGTCTGTTGTACCATGTACTTGTGTTAAAAAGTATTCTGTTCTCTTTCTATTGCTTCCTTTGTGTGAAGTCCCTGGTGAGCCTGCCAGTCCCTCTGCTTTCCTAAGCATGAGAGCACATCCTTCCCGGCGTGGTCAGTTTTCTGTCTGCTCTGCCCCCATGCTGGTGCCAAAGCCCAGAGAGACATTGTGAAGTCCCCTTTATTGAAAAGTAAAACTTTTTTCTCATTTGCAGAACTACTGAATCAGTCATGTGCAGATTAAAGGACGTTGATTTGGTTTACATTACCAGAACTAATACCAGAACAATAGTATCATTTTACAATGTCATTCTAAAATAAATACTTTTCAAAAATTATATTTTTTATAGTTCTGCCAATAATAAAGAAAGGAAATATCCACAAACCACTGTACATTTCCTTAATTAACTGACCAGAAAGTTTTCTGCTCAGCCAGCTGATGTCTTCCAAGGGTGACAGTAACATTAAACAGATATGCACATAGGAAAGAGCAGAAATGGAAATGAACAGGATATGATATGGGAAGGCAGACACATTTTATGTCAGAAGTAACTGCTTTATACAGTATACGGTAACTTGAGAACCCTTCGGATCCATTCACACTTATGTGTTGTGATAATGCAGGATAAATTGTGTGGTGTAAAGAAGAATTCCAGGTATAGCATTTTTTACATAGTTAGCCCTCATGCACACTGGATGTTTTTACAGCGGCTGTTTTTGGCTTTTGATGGTTTTTCCTACAGATAGTAAACCCCCCATGTTATCCTATGTTCAATAGAGAAGATGGGACTTTCAGGGTGCATAGACATGAATACCACACATTAAACGTTATATAATTTTTATTTCGTATTTTGGTAAAAAAACACAAGAAAGGAAAAAATACAGAAACATAAAAACAATTTCAATTCTAAGAATACCAACTGAGATTCAAACTTGATTAGGTATATGTAGTTACTCCCTACATGTTTCGCCCTCACGGGCTTCTTCAGGGGAATTTTTTTTGAGGAAATTCTACCGCCAAGGCAGTCCTGGATGTGAAAGCTCACGGAGCTAGGAGAAAATGACCTAAAAAAATGATCTTCATTGGCCTACACGTCCAAAACCGTTGTAGAGGATATAATGGGCATCAGATATCATCTGTTAAATGCTTTAGAAGGATATATAGGTATAACCTAACAAAGATCTATTGGACCTATATGTCCAGAACCATAGGAAAGGAAACAATGGACATCAAACATCCATCTGTTAAATATTGCAATTCAAGTAGCAGGGAAAATGTAGGGAAAAAGGATTTTACTTGAGGATCAGTTTTCAATCACCACCCAACAAAAGTCCAGACGATATTAGCTCCGTTCAGATCCAAAACAGCCTCCAGGATACTCAATGTGCACTGGTGATTAGCAGAAAAAGACATGTTATCCTATGTGTCCATGTACACATAGACTGTAATCAATGTTTTTTGGCTGGAAAAAACCCCAGGACTAGTGGATTTCTAGAGGAGTTTTTTTAGCTGTTAAAAAGGCTCTGTAAAAAGCGGTAAAACGCCGCAAACCAGCACTTTTGGACTTTTTTTGGCCATATAAAAAAAATTTTTTATGGTAAAACAGATGCTAAAAAATGTGAATGTGGCAAAACGCCGCAAATTGCGGCAAAACACCGCTAAACGCTAATGCAAGAAAGCTAAAAAAAAAGCTGAAAAACTCACATTTTTAATGTGACTTTACACAGCTAACGTTACCAGCATTATCAAAATGTCCAGTGTATATGAGGGCTAAAAACGCTCTAACGCTGAAAAACTTGTCAAAACGCAGCAAACCAGTGTTTTTGGACTTTTTTTTTACCAAAAAAAATTTTTTTTGGTAAAAAGAACACTAAAAACGCAGGAAAATGCAGCAAAAAGCTAGTGCAAAAATGCTAAAAAAAAAGCTGAAAAACTCATGTTTTTAACGTGACCTTACACAGCTAATGTTACCAGCGTTATAAAAATGTCAAGTGTGCATGAGGGCTAAAAATGCTCTAACACTGAAAAACGCTGAAAAATGCGGTAAAACGCCACAAACCGGCATTTTTGGACCTTCTTTTTGACCAAATAAAAATATTTGGGGGGGTAAAAAAACTCTAAAAAACAAATACGGTAAAACGCTGCTAAACGCTAATGCACAAACGCTGAAAAACGCATGTTTTTAACGTGACCTTACAAAGCTGACGTTACCAGCGTTATCAAAACGTCAAGTGTGCATTAGGGCTAAAAATGCTCTAACGCTGAAAAAATGCGGTAAAACGCAGCAAACCGGCGTTTTTGCACCTTTTTTGACCAAAATACATTGGGGGGAGTTTAAAAAAACGCTAAAAACCGCAAATGTGGGAAACTGCTGCTAAACGCTAATGCAAAAACACTAAAAAAAAAGCTGAAAAACTCACATTTTTAAGGTGACTTTACACAAACGTTACCAGCGTTATTAAAACGTCCAGTGTGTATGAGGGCTTAAGTTGGTTCAGCTTGGAGCAATGAATCTATGTATACACCATACCTGCGGGATCCCCCTGGAAGCTGGAAATCAGTCAAGTAAACACTGCTGCTTCAGGGATCTCCTCGTTTCCAAGTCCCGTCCTGAGCAACTGCCCTGCTGCATGCTGGACACAGGTCAGCTGTTCTGGAATGGGCTGTTTTCAGAGACTACTTCGCATTTTCTCAATGAATGCAAAGCTTTTTCCGATTGGACAAGGTGGAGAGCATAACATCATCCTCTGCCTCTACACCTTGTTCAATCAGAGAATGCTTTGCATCTGTTGAGAAAACGCCAGCGATCTCTGAATGTCACCCATGCTGAATGGCCTACCTCCCGTGTTCAGAATGCAGCAGGGCAGCTACTTGGTACCAGACTCAAAAGTAAGTGGAGGGCGCAAAAGTAGCGGCATCCAGTACAGCGATTTCCAGCGTCTAGAGGGGTCCCACTGATACAGTACTTGCTGGAACAATGTCAAAATGTAAAAAATGCCATACCTGAAATTCTTCTGCTCCGCTCTGCCCAGCTAGAGGTACCACAGTGTGGTGCATTCATTTTTAGTTGTAGCCCAACACACTAATACTGTAGTGGGCAATGACTGCACCCGAACCAGGGGCGGACTGACCATTTGGAAACTCGGGCAATGTCCGAGGGCCCGGGGTCAGTAGGGGGCTCCATGAGATGCCCCTGGTACCTTTTTTATAGGCTTTTTTGAGTTTGGGCAAGGACACAGGGGCCCCATGATCCCCTATTGCCTGGGGGCCCCATGAGTTGTCAGTCCGCTCCTGATCCGAACACACCACAATATGAACACTGGGCATTGTGTGCCAGATTTAATAAAATGAGTCTCTTTGTCAGATAAATTGTGGTGTGTTGGAAGCCCATCCAAAAAGAATAGAGCTCTTTAACATAGGATTAGAACTTTTTTTTATAGTTGAACTGGATGAACTTTTGTCTTTTTTCAGCCAGACTAACTATGTAACTATGTAAAACAACGTGCTTTCGTACATGAATCTGATATGGCTAGAATCTGCACAATAGAGCTCCCTAGGCAAGGCACTCTTGGAAAAAAGCTAATGCTCCGTACACACGATAAGAAAATCGCTCCAAAAATTTTGCGGAACCACTGATCGAACAATTTTCTCTTCGTTGAAGAGCAGGATGTTTTAACCGATAACGATATTGTGAATGAAAAAATCCGGTTGAATAACAGTGAAAAATGTCGTTTCGCACACAAACGACCGTTTTTCTATGCGGTGGTATGACGGTCGTACAAAAAAAAATCTATCAAGCGCTATCACGCATGAGTGGAAACAGAAGATGACCCGGATGTTTATGTCCAAGGAATCTTCGTAAACATGAACAAAAATCCAAATGTTAAAAGTAGATTGGCCTAATGAGATAATGAAACCAGAACTCTGCATATTATATTTTATGTATCACTATTTATGTATATAGATAATGTAATAAACTATATTATACTCATTGCTAGTAATTGTTGTGTATATCACTCGTTCTAGCCGGAAGGGTGTGGCTACAAGGTCACACACATACTGCATCACTTCCACTTGTACAGAAGACGTCAACACTACGTATTGCCCGACGAGCGTTTTTTTTAGTTTGGTTAATGTGGGCCATGATCAATTTGACCAACGAACTCTCGGTCGTCGCATGACCGATCGGTCGATTTTCTAATCGTGTATTCCCATCTTTAGAGATGACTATGCGCTCCTGCATTTGCCCGCTGTACAGACTGGGGCTCAGATCACTTTAAAGTGAACCCCTTGGCCAGTCTATGGACATTGAAGTATTTTCTTACCAAGCAGTAAATGAGCTTTATACAAAAGACATAGAATTTTGCATGTTGACGTGTTGCATTAATGCAGCCCTTTTACTAACAATGGAATGCCAATATATAACAACAGAACACAAACAGGAGCTGTACTTTCTGATTTATCTCACTGCTTAACATTTGTTGGGGTCCATGGACCTGTATTGTACCGTGCATTGGAGTGCCATTTCTAAATGAATAAAAGTCACCACACTGAGTGACGTGTGTTACTGCAACACATTCATGTGAAAGGAGCCACAGGCTGACTCCACACTGCAGTGCATGATATCTTGGGTGTTGCAGTAACACAGTGAAACTGCATGTTTTACAACACAATAACGCACATGGTATATGTTCGATTCATTTAGAATGGCACCCCAATGTGCATGTACTGTAGCTGTTTTTCAGCACTCCACAACGCACATGGTGTATTTTGGTGTGTTGCATTCCCAACATAGTGCAACTGCCATTGTTCATGTGTTAAGGTGTGTTGACATCCTAATAAAAAATGTATTTATTTCAGGTACTTATAGTGCTGTCAATTTACGCAGCGCTTTACATATATATAATGTACATTCACATCAGTCCCTAACCCTCAAGGGGTGTACAATCAAAAGTCTCTAACTCACATTCATACATACACATACTAGGGCCAATTTAGACAGGATCCAATTAACCTACCAGCATGTCTTTGGAGTGTGGGAGGAAACTGGAGTACCTGGAGGAAACCCATGCAGGCACAGGGAGAACATGCAAACTCCAGGCAGGTGGTGCCAGGGTCAGGGGCGGACTGACAACTCATGGGGCCCCCTGGCAATAGGGGATTATGGAGCCCCTGTGTCCTTGCCCACACTCAAACCACACCCAAAAAAGCCTATGAAAGGTACCAGGGACATCTCATGGGGCCCCCTACTGACCCCCGGCCCTCAGGCAGTGCCCGAGTTCCCCAATGGTCAGTCTCTCCCTGGCCAGGGTTGGGATTTGGACCAACGACCCTAGGACTGCTAGGCTGAAGTGCTACCCATTTAGCCACTGTGCTGCCCAGCCTTAATCCTCATAAAAAAAAAACAGGTGTGGAGGAGCCCTAAAGGGCAGCTATTTGGAAATTCGGCAGTTCTATCTCCTGTGCAATAATGAATCATTCATAGCCAGCATTCACAGTTTTGTTTTCATTTGTACTTTTATCTAAAAGTGATGTTTGTAGGTCTTTGAAGTTGCTAAAGTGACAGCAAAAGGCATTGGAGCAAACCATACTTGAATAGGGTTCTTTTTTTTGACCTATCTAATGGTTTGTTTCTGATTTCTGCTCATACGCAAAGGAACTAAAGACACTGGTGCAAACTAGACTTGAATGGGGTTCCTTTTCTGACCTGCTATTTTATGGTTCATTCTTGATTTCTGCTCATACCCAAATGTAACCCATTGAAATGTTATTACTTGCAATACACTAAAGTGGACATTAGATAGCAGTGGCCTGCTATTCAGGGTTACTCACATGGACAAAACAGCCCTTTGGAACTTGTATTTCTGAACAGCCGGACTTGGCTAATAAGTGCCTAGGACCACATTTCCCAGGAAAAGTAGCGTGAGGGCGGGGGTATATGAATATCAAAGCGTGGGAGATTAGCAAGGGGGGTGCAGAGGGAGATTGAAGGCTGAAGTGCTGGACTAGGCCAAGGAGCCAGGATTGGAGAAAGAGCTCTTAAAGAGAACTTTGCATTAATTCTTTACCATCAATCAGGAAAGTTAAATCTTCTCCTGTTTCCTCACTACCTTTGATGTGGCCACCCTAAGGAACTACCATCCAACCCTTGACTCAACTTCACATTATTATGGCCCCAACAGGCACACAGAAAACATTATAGAGCTGTTAAAGGGGACACTGCCAATTATAACAGGGAATTCTCTTTATTTTGCATCTAATCCTTGTTATCTACAGTTGTGTTCAAAATAATAGCAGTGTGTTTGAAAAAAGTGAATAAAGCTCAAACTCCTTCTAATAGCTTTTATTTCCATACACACAAATGCATTGGGAACACTACACATTCTATTCCAAATCAAAACATGAAGAAAAATATATCAAATTTGTGTTGTTCCTCTAAAAAAAATTGAAGAAAAGTGAATATTAGACTGTTCAAAAAAATGGCAGTGTTGTATTCTTCTTTACAAACTCAAACATTCACTATATAAACTGAAAAATGTTTGAAGATTTGCTTTCCTTTGAATCACTTAATTAATATTTAGTTGTATAAGCACTGTTTCTGAGAACTGCTGTACATCTGTGTTGCATGGAGTCAACCAACTTCTGGCACCTGTGAACAGGTATTCCAGCCCAGGATGATTGGACTACATTCCACAGTTCTTCTCTATTTCTTGGTTTTGCCTCAGAACTGCTGCATTTTTGATGTCACCCCACAAGTTTTCTATTGGATTAAGATCCGGGGATTGGGCGGGCCACTCCATAACGTCAATCTTGTTGGTCTGGAACCAAGATGTTGCACGTTTACTGGTGTGTTTGGGGTCGTTGTCTTGTTGGAACACCCATTTCAAGGGCATTTTCTTCAGCATAGGGTAGCATAACCTCTTCAAGTATTTGATGTATTCAAACTGATCCATGATCCCTGGTATGCGATAAATAGGCCCAACACCGTAGTATGAGAAACATCCCCATATCATGATGCTTGCGCAACCATGCTTCACTGTCTTCACAGTGTACTGTGGCTTGAATTCAGTGTTTGGGGGTCGTCTGACAAACTGTCTCTGGCCACTAGACCGAAAAAGAACAATCTTACTTTCATCAGTCCACAAAATGTTGCGCCATTTCTCTTTAGGCCAGTCAATGTGCTCTTTGGCAAATTGTAACCTCTTCAGCACATGTCTTTTTTTCAACAGTGGGACTTTGCGGGGGCTTCTTGCAGATAGCTTGGCTTCACATAGGCGTCTTCTAATTGTAACAGTACTCACAGGTAACTTTAGACCTTCTTTGATCTTCCTGGAGCTGATTGTTGGCTGAGTCCTTACCATTTTGGATATTCTTCTATCCATTCGAATGGTAGTTTTTCGCTTTCTTCCACGTCTATTAGGTTTTGGTTACCATTTTAAAGCATTTGCGATCATTTTAGCTGAGCAGCCTATCATTTTTTGCACTTCTTTATATTTTTTCCCCTCTCCAATCAACTTTTTAATCAAGGTACGCTGTTCTTCTGAACAATGTCTGGACGACCCATTTTCCTCAGAATTTCAGAGAGAAATGCACTGTAACCAGCAGTAAAACATTTGCTGCCTTCCTTCCTTAAATAAGGGCAATAATTGCCACCTGTTTTTCAAAGAATGAATGACCTCACTAATAGAACTCCACACTGCTATGATTTTGAACATGTCCCTTTCAATTAGTGATTCAATTACACAGAATCAGCAGCATGCATGTCATGACTGTTGGGTCTGTTGGATTTCTATTACTCTACTACAACTGCTAGTAAATTATTTGCCATGTAGAAATATCATTTCTACCAAAAACAGTGATTGATCAGGTTAGTTGACGGGAGTGATCATATTTGCTTTCTATATTAGTGTTATTTTTGACTCAGTTACCTCCAATTTCAATATAAACTTCAATTTGGTTTATACTACTCTGTGTATGAGTCTATTTTATAGGTGTGATTTATCTGGGTCACAAGAGCATGGTGGTCAGCAGAGGTTGAGCTTTTAATGAGGGGGGGTCCGGATTGACAAGGAACCCAGAAAAAAAATACTAAACCAACCCAAGGGGGTAGTGCTACTCAAAGGAAATATAAATATGTTATATAGTATACTGTGTCTCAGTTATATGATGTTTTCTTTTATTACAACCTATGTGTAGCACAACCTCCTTAGGAGTTGCTGAAGTTTTGGGTCCCCTACAGTCCTGCACAGCTAGGCCACACACATTTCCACACAGGCTTGCATCCAGAGTTAGAGAACAGTCCTTGAATTTTGTTATTTTATTTAGGGGATTTGAATAGGATAGGGTTTTAGGGGTGTACAGGCTGCCCAAGGGGGATAGGGTTAGGGGTGTTTCCCACCAGAGTACAGGATGCCCAAGGGAACTGCTATGAACTGAGGACAACTTCTTTTAATGGAAGCATTATAATCTCTCACTGCAACTCTACAGTCTCTTTAGGGGCTGGCCTGCAAGCCTCTCATGTGTATTTGAACTCTGACTATTAGACCCAGGCCACTATTCAGCCCTCCTCCCTAACAATCAGGACTCTAGCTCCCCCTAGCTAGAAGGGTGCTAAATTGTTTACATTACCCTTTGGTATATATTTGATTATCTCAAGTATCTGCTTCACTGTGTAGAATTGTCCATCTTCAAAATTACATTCTTGAATCTACTGGTATTTATATTGCATCCAACAAGCTTTCGAACAAGTTCTTTACATATTGTACATTACATATTGTACATCACATCAATCCCTGCCCTGAAGGAGCTTACAAGCCAAGGTTGACAGTGTTTCTGATAGAAAGGTGTCAGAATACAGTGCATCACAGTTTGTGGTGTATGGGGCTGTGTAGCTGCAGACTAGTCAGGGTGCTCATGCTGAAACGTCTCCACAGCCAGCATCAGAACTGGACCACAGAGCAATGGAAGAAGGTGGCCTGGTCTGATGAGTCATGTTTCTTTTTACATCATCTGGATGGCCATGTGTGTGGTGTCACTTACCTGGGGAAGAGATGGCACCAGGATGCACAATGGGAAGAAGGCTAGCTGGACGAGGCAGTATAATGCTTTGGGCAATGTTTGCTGATGGGAAACCTTGGGTCCTGCCATTCATGTGGATGTTAGTTTGACACATACCACATATGTAAACATTGTTGCTGACCAAGTGCATACTTTTGTGGAAATGATGTTCCCTGATGGCAGTGGCTTCTTTCAGCAGAATAATGAGTCCTGCCACACTGCAAGAATGGTTCAAGAACGGTTTGGGGAAAACAACAAGGAGTTTGAGATGGCCTCCAAATTCTCCAGATCTCAATCTAATTGCGCATCTTTGGGATATGCTGGAAAAACAAGTCCATGGAGGCCCCACCTTACATATTACAGAACCTAAAGGATCTGCTACTAATGGCTTGGTGCCAGATACCACAGCATACCTTCAAAGGTCTAGTGGGGTCCAAAATGAATGCACACACTTCACTCCATCAGGGGGGGGGCAGTTCCTGTGTCCACAAATGTTCACTACCATGGAAATGTTTTGTTCTGTGTATGTATTTCTATGCATGTACTGAATAAGTAGATTTACTGTATATATACACAGATCAGCCTAAACATTATGACCTAATATTTAGTAGGTTCTCGTTTTGCCACCAAAGCCAACCCCCCACTTTTGCCACCAAAACAGAGCTGACCTGTTGAGGCATTGGATGCCACTAAACCTCTGAAGGTATACTGTGGTATCTTGCACCAAGCCAATAAAGTCCTTTCAAGCAGTATTAACTAATTGCCGACCGCAGATAGCCGAATGACGGCTGCACTGCGGCCGGCCAGTTCTGGGTGGACGTCATATGACGTCCTCCCAGAACGCGCTCTCCTGTGCGCCCCCCGGGGCGCGCACCCGGCGATCTCCGTGATCGCTGTGTCCTACGGACACAGCTGATCACGTGATGTGGTAAAAGGCCAATCACAGCGGCCTTTTACCACGTGATCAGCCGTGTCCAATGACACACTGATCACCGGGAAAATGCAAATGCCGGTTCTTGGCTGCACTTTCCTCACACTGTCAGATCGTGAGGAAAGTACTGCCGAAAACCGGCAGTTGTCAGAGCGGGGATCGGCACCGATCATCAGGGTCACTGATCACCAGTGCCCTGATGATCAGTGACCAGCAGTGCCACACACAAGTTCCGCCCATCTGTGCCCAGCATTGCGCCCACCTGTGCCCAGCAATGCACCCACCTGTGCCCAGCAATGCGCCCACCTGTGCCACCTAGCAGTGTCACCACCTGTGCCCAGAAGTGCCACCTACCTGTGCCCAGTAGTGCCACCCACCTGTGCCACCTAGCAGTGTCACCACCTGTGCCCAGAAGTGCCACCTACCTGTGCCCAGTAGTGCCACCCACCTGTGACCACCCACCTGTGCCCATCAGTGCAGCCCAGCAGTGCTGCCAGTCAGTGCCACCAGTCAGTGCCCAGTGGTTGTGCCAGTCAGTGCCCAGCAGTGCCGTCAGTCAGTGCCCAGCAGTGATGTCAGTCAGTGCCACCTATCAGTGCTGTATTTCAGTACCCATTATCAGTGTCGCCTATCAGTGCCACCAATCAGTGCCGCATATCAGTGCCACCTATCCGTGACACCTCATTAGTGCTGCCTATCAGTGCCGCCTATCAGTGCCCTTCAGTGCTGCCTATCAGTGGCCATCAGTGCCGCCTATCAGTGCCCATCAGTGCTGCCTCATCAATGGACATCAGTGAAGGAGAAAAATTACCTGTTTGAAAAATTTTATAATAGAAACAAAAAAACTTTTTTTTTTTTCAAATTTTTTTGCACTTTTTTTGCTTATAGCACAAAAAGTAAAGTGCCCAGCAGCGATTAAATACCACCAAAAGAAAGCTCTATTTGTGATAAAAATGTCATATGGGTACAATCTTGCATGACCGCGCAATTGTCAATCAAAGTGCAACAGCACTGAAAGCTGAAAATTGGCCTGGTAAATAAGGGGGCATATAAGTGCCCGATAGGCAAGTGGTTAAAGGGTAAGTTCACTCTTTGGAACATGTATGTTACATATTCCACCTGTATTTAGGATGGAACATGCAACATGTTCCAGCTCCTGCCACCGCTCGCTCCAATCCCGCTCTCAGTGTGACAGTGGGCAAGGGATCTTCTCCCCACTTCCAATGTCACAATTAGCCCACAAGGCTGCATCATTCTTTCATAGAAACCTGTGAATGAATGAAGTACAACTACCACCAGCCTTTGCAGCTGAGAGCATGTTCTGAATGGACTGTGAGGGTGCTGATGAGTGTTCTTGTTGTTCCTTTACAAGCTTTGCAGCTTGTAAATAGTCAACCCCGTATCAGTGGTACACGCTGAAAGCTGCAGAACTTGTCTGCAGGAGCCTGACATTGCACCCCATTCCACTGATCATAGGTGCAATGCTTTACAGGCTTCTTAGGGAAAAAAATAATAAATGCACATTTTTTTCCTGCAAAAATATGTGCATTTAATATTTTTTCCCAAAAGGTGAACTCACCTTTAAACCCAAAACCAAAAATGTATTCAGTCATTAGATGTGGTGGCTGCATTTGTTTTCTTTTTAGGCTTCCCCCCCGTTTTCACCTGGTGATCTGGCCAGTAACACACTTCCTGTATTAGAATGCCCCCCACTCTGGATGAAGGAGCACAGGGACACACTGGGAGAGCAGCACTGTCCGTCTGGGGGGAAGGGAGTGTTAGGTAGTCTAACATATTTAGACACACTAACAAATTGAAACCAAACTCCAGCTAATACTTTATAACGAGTTACAGAAAACAGTTTTTTTCCTTTTAAGATAAATGTCATACATAAATAAAAGCTGATTATTGTAAGCACCCCTACTAGTGTTAAACGGTTTTTCTCATCTCTGAAACTAAGACCAAGCTGTTAGGAACAAGTCCTTTAAGGCCTTAAAATTGCTAGTTGGGCACTCCATGATTCAGACTTGTTTTTTCCAACACATCCCACAGATACTCAGTTGGATTAGGAAATGGAGAATTTGGAGGCCAAGTGAATATCTTAAGCCCATTGTTGTGTTTCTGAAACCATTCTTGGACTATTTTTTCCAACAGCAGGGCACATTATCCTGCTAAAGAAGGCCACTTCCATTATAGAATACTGTTTCCATTAAAGGGTGTACTTGGTCTGCAACAAAGCTTAGGTAGGTGGTACGTGTCAAGTATCATCCATATGAATGGCAAGGATTCCCAGCAGAATATTGCCCAAAGCATCATACACTGACTTGACTGGCTTGTCTTCTTCCCATACTGCATCCTGCACCTGACCTGCGGCTACGCAGCCTCATACACAACAAACTGCAATGCCCATTTTTTCTGCTTTCAACACACCAACTTCAGGGACAATATTTTTACTTGCTGCCTAATATATCCCACCAACTCTGAGATGCCATTGTAACAAGATAATCAATGTTTTTTTACTTAACCTGTCAGTGGTCAGAAAGTTATGGTTGATATATATATATATATATATATATATATATATACATACAGTGAGGAACAGAAGTATTTGAACACCCTGCGATTTTGCAATTTCTCCCACTTAGAAATCATGGAGCGGTCTGAGATTCACATTGTAGGTGCAGTCCCACTCTGAGAGACAGAATTGAAAAAAGAAATTCAGGAAATCACACTGTATGATTTTTTAAAGAATTTATTTGTCTTGCACTGCTGAACATAAGTATTTGAACAGATAAGAAACAGCAAGAATTCTGGCTCTCAAAGACCTGTTACTGCCTTAAAAAAGTCCACCTCTACTCCACTCATTAATTTAACTTAGTAGCACCTGTCTGAGCTCTTTAAAGACACCTGTCCACCCCACAGTCAGTCAGACGCCAACTACTACCATGGGCAAGACCAAAGAGCTGTCAAAAGACACCAGAGACAAAATTGTGGACCTCCACAAGGCTGAACATAAGTATTTGAACAGATAAGAAACAGCAAGAATTCTGGCTCTCAAAGACCTGTTACTGCCTTAAAAAAGTCCACCTCTACTCCACTCATTAATTTAACTTAGTAGCACCTGTCTGAGCTCTTTAAAGACACCTGTCCACCCCACAGTCAGTCAGACGCCAACTACTACCATGGGCAAGACCAAAGAGCTGTCAAAAGACACCAGAGACAAAATTGTGGACCTCCACAAGGCTGGAAAGGGCTACGGGGCAATTGCCAAGTAGCTTGGTGAAAATAGATCAACTGTTGGAGCAATTGTTAGAAAATGGTAGAGGCTAAAGACGACTGTCAGTCTCCCTTGGACTGGGGCTCCATGCAAGATCTCACCTCGTGGGGTATCACTGATGATAAGAAAGGTGAGGAATCAGCCCAGAACTACAAGGGAGGAGCTGGTCAATGACATGAAGAGAGCTGGGACCACAGTTTCAAAGGTCACTGTCGGTAGAACGCCGTCATGGTTTCATATCATGCATTGCATGGAAGGTTCCCCTGCTCAAGTCATCACATGTCCAGGCCCGTCTGAAGTTTGCCAATGACCATCTGGATGATCCAGAGGAGGCATGAGAGAAAGTCATGTGGTTAGATGAGACCAAAGTAGACCTTTTTGGTCTAAACTTCACTCGTCGTGTTTGGAGGAAATAGAAGGATGAGTTGCATCCCAAGAACACCATCCCTACTGTGAAGCATGGGGGTGGTAACATCATGCTTTGGGGGTGCTTTTCTGTTAAGGGGACAGGACGACTGCACTGTATTAAGGAGAGGATGAATGGGGCCATTTATTGTGAGATTTTGAGCAACAACCTCCTTCCCTCAGTCAGAGCATTGAAGATGGGTCGTGGCTGGGTCTTCCAACATAACAACGACCCGAAGCACACAGCCAGGATAACCAAGGAGTGGCTCCGTAAGAAACATATCAGGGTTCTGGAGTGGGCTAGTCAGTCTCCAGACCGAAATCCAATAGAACATCTTTGGAGGGAGCTGAAACTCGTGTTGCTCAGTGACAGCCCCGAAACCTGACAGATCTAGAGAAGATGTGTGTGGAGGAGTGGGCCACAATCCCTGTTGCAGTGTGTGCAAACCTGGTCAAGAAGTACAGGAAACATTTGACCTCTGTAATTGCAAACAAAGGCTTCTGTACCAAATATTAACATTGATTTTCCCAGGTGTTCAAATACTTATGTTCAGCAGTGCAAGACAAATAAATTCTTTAAAAATCATACAATGTGATTTCCTGATTTTTTTTTTAAATTCTGTCTCTCGGAGTGGGAATGCACCTACAATGTGAATTTCAGACCCCTCCATGATTTTTAAGTGGGAGAACTTACAAAATTGCAGGGTGTTCAAATACTTTTGTTCCTCACTGTTTATTTACAAAGTATCTCACAGACGTGAGTCCACCCCAGGGGCGGACTGACCATTTGGAAACTCGGGCACTGCCTGAAGGCCCGGGGTCAGTAGGCGGCCCCATGAGATGCCCCTGGTATCTATTTCATAGCCTTTTTTGAGTTTGGGCAAGGACACAGGGGCCCCATGATCCCCTATTGCCCGGGGGCCCCATGAGTTGTCAGTCCACCCCTGGTCCACGCCTCACATTTTTGTAAATATTTTATTATATCTTTTCATGTGACAACACTGAAGAAATGACACTTTGCTACAATGTAAAGTAGTGAGTGTACAGCTTGTATAACAATGTAAATTTGCTGTGCCCTCAAAATAACTCAACACACAGCCATTAATGTCTAAACCACTGGCAACAAAAGTGAGTACACCCCTAAGTGAAAATGTCCATATTGGGCCCAATTAGCCATTTTCCCTCCCCAGTGTCATGTGATTTGTTAGTGTTACAAGATCTCAGGTGTGAATGGGGAGCAGGTGTGTTAAATATGGTGTTATCACTCTCTCATACTGGTCACTGGAAGTTCAACATATCACCTCATGGCAAAGAACTCTCTGAGGATCTGAAAAAAAGAATTATTGCTCTACATAAAGATGGCTTAGGCTATAAGAAGATGTTTCGCTCAAAAAACGGAACTTTGTCAGGAGTATAAAGAATTCAAATAATTGAAAAAGTTGTGCTTAGCTTCACATGGTGGCAAAATGGCCAAATGGTATGGTATTTGATTTGGACTGTTGTTAACCATTTGGATGTAAGGTAAATCATTGCAATGGTATCAAGTCATTTTGTTGTGCGCAGTACATTCCATTCCAATAGGCATTAATTACAGCTGAGTATACATTTTATATATATCTGAATAAAGGTTATATTTTAGATTCATCAATTGGCCGGATGGAGCGTAGGGATACGCACCCTCATAGATTTGTTATTTGCCAAAGATGATTTACAATTAAGGCTTAGTTCAATAGATAAAGAAGTAGAAAGCCAAACTGGGGTAATTGTTTCCTGTG